TATATTCTCTAAACTGTATATTAAACTTAGGTTATGCCTACGCATTGTTTTCATTTAATTTCAATTTACTTTTAAAAAGCATTTGTTTTTGTTTTCAACAGGTTTTTGCTAATTGAAAAATCAAATTTTCCAAAAGGGAATGAGATGTTACAATTGGTGTTGATTGGGCCTTTAAATGGGGCGTGGTAGTGGGCGTGGCTCAGCTGAGTTTCACAACAAAATTATAAATATATGTTCACATTTCTCTTCTTATTTGTTTCGTTTCGTTATTTGTTTTTGTTTTTCTTTTCGCTTTTCATTATATAAATATTTCGTATTGCAAATATACAAAGATTTCTCTGACTGCCTAATGCACATCGATCGAGCCTAAAGAGCGTGCGAGAGGAAAGTGTATTAATAGCGTCTGTGTACATTGAAATTTTTATAGGGCATCAAGTACATCTGTATATATATATATATATATATGTGTGTGTGTGTTGGTGTGTTTGTGTGTATTTGTGTTTTTGCTAGTGGATAAAGTGGATATTAAGTTGCGCGCATAACTTCAATAAAATATTTTTGCCTTTAACAACTTTAAATTAGGTATTAAAAAAATAGATGTATACATATATATGTATATGCATAGATATATATATATATATGTATATTATAGCTAACGCTAGCCATTGAGTTGTTCTTGTTCTTGTTGCGGAAATCGTAAACGCATTCCGTTTGGCATTCAATCCGCACTCAGAGGAGATGCGTTGACCTTCTTGCCCGTTGCCGTGGCCGCAGCTGGAGGCGTGGGCAGCGCCACGTCCGTTAGTTCATCATCTGGCACCAGTTGTAACCGTTGTTGCGGCTGTGGGGGCTGCTGCTGCTGTTGCTCTTCTTGTACGTTTTGCTCATTTTGCAGTGGCTGTTCCTCGTCCATATTGCCATCGCCCGCAGCGTGCTGTACAGGCTCCATCGTTCCAGTGCCTACGCCAACGTCAGTTAAGCTGCCAGTTGSTGGGCCAGCGTTAAGCAGCGGCGGCGGCGTGCTGGACAGCATGGCCACTGGCGAGGCACTTGTTGTGGCTGCCGCAGCGCCATCGCCCATCCCTCGTTCCCGTTCGCCAGCAGCAGCTGAACCAATCCCATGACTCTCGTTGCTCGGCGTCATCGGCGAATTGGGCAGCGGTGAGTCAAGCTGCTGTTGGCTGAACTCCTGGTTGGGGCTCTCCCGCGTAAACAGGCCCATTTTGGATTCCGCTTGGGCGCCCGCGCTGCCAATGGCCGCGCCCTCGCTGTCCGTGCTGCTGCTGATCAGCGAGTGGGCGACGGTGGGCGCAGCGGGCCCGCTCACCAGATGTGGCGGCGCATGGAGGGGCACGTGCTGATGCTGATGGTGCGACTGCTGCTGATGCTGCTGCTGGGTCACATGGTAGCGCGGTATGTCGGCCTTGCGCCACAGCGTAATCTCCTGCTGCTTGAAATACCGCCGGTCCTCGGTGTCCATCAGCACCAGATTGAGAAAATACTTGACCGAGAACTTCTTGTTAATGTCCCGCATGGTTGGCGTTAGATTATAGCCAGCCAGGAATACTCGTATGGGTATGCTTTCGCCTTTCACCGGCGCTCCATCCATGATCTCGTACTTGGCAATCGTTTCGTTCTCGTTGAAGATGTTGGGGCCCGTACCGGTCGTCTCTCTCTTGATGATCGCAATCTCCATGTGCTTGATCTTGATCCGGACGAGCAGAAAGTAGATTTTCCCAATGATTGTATCCTTCAGATGGTATTTGCTCTTGTTGTACTCGAACTCAATGTGCAGACAGTCCTCGATGCCAACCTCCATTTTGATGGGATTGTTCATTTCCGGATAGCTGCAGAGCGTGTGCACCGCAATGTCCACCTCCCGCGTGATATCGCTAATCCTTCGCACAATTGTCGCCCGCAGAAAGTAGCGCAGGCGCACATTGGAACCGGCATAGACCTCGAACTGTTTCTCCACATTGGGAAAATCGAAGGGATAGCTGTTGTTCTGGATCAGATCGCCGGGGCGGGCTAACGCCTTCGCAAGGCACTTGAACTCGTGATGATTACCCCGATCATAGAACAGTTCAATTTGTCCAATAAACTCGATCTTAATGCCCTGATGCTCCAGTTTGCTGCCGGGCTTCTTCAGTGTCACATTTACCTTAAATGTAAGGGAAAACACATATATAAGTAACAAGAATTAAACAATACAATTTTGGATATAATCACGAAATAACTTGCTACAATTTCCCTCGCTTAATCACAGCAGCTGCTTCAGCTGCTGATAACCGACTCGATGGGCGGCAACGGAACGGAAGTCACGCCTACCGCCTACAGCCTACAGTGGTCTCTGTGTCTGCCGCCACAATCAAGACTCGCCCGCCTATAGTCTGCAGCGACTGCTTCTGCTTCGGCCTCCGCCTGCGCCTCAGTCTGTGCCTGTGCCTAAGGCTCAGCCACTGCTGCTGCTTACCTTGCCGGAGACGGTTTCGCCATCGTAGTAGAGCAACATCTTTTCCACCTTGCCATCCTCGCCTTTGACCTCGGCGGTTTTCCTGTTCTCCGCTCCATCGAAGACAATTTCAATTTCGGCTGATTGGCCAAAGCCCAAGAAATTCATTATTGATAAATGTGTTGCGGCGGCGTTTTTTTTTTTTTTTATTGTTTTATTTTTTTTTTTTTTTTCKTTTTATTTTTCTACACTTTGGTTACACTGCAAGAGAGCAGCAGCAGCAAGGTTGTAACTCTGTTATTTTGGAATGTTTTTGTTTGCTTGTACTTAAGCGCTTTAATAGGCCCTAATTTCTTCTATATGTATATATATTTATTTATATATACGTATGTGCTTATATATTTGTATGTTATTTATTTTGCTTTTTTGTTATAAAACTTTTATGTGTACGCTGCCTGCAACTGTAATTTATTGGGCGTTTTATGTGTGTGTGTGTTTGTGTGCGAGACCGTATGTGTATGTGTATGCATGCATGTATGTGTGTGTGTGTGCTAGCTGCTATTGGTGTGTCCAAAAAAAATTGTCGGCGATTAATCGCAGAAAAAAGAACAACAAATACGGCAAATAAATGAAAATCGAAATATCGTTAGCAAGCAACACTGTTAAATTCGAATAGCCGGCTTCTTAACAGCGCTGCTAGAAACGATATTTACTTTATGTTGCTGTTGCAGCCCTGGTAAATTGAATTTCAAAAGTTTCTTTTTGTGCAGCTGAACCAGAAGTCTTATAAATATTGTTTTAATAAAAAATTTTTTATTGAACGCACGTCGCTTATATCTAGACAAGAGCCCACTCACAGCGTCTACCAGGTCCCTGCACTTTAGGGCACTGAGCCAGACTCGACACGCAATTCCACAGAAAGTCCAAATAATGAAGACCCGTATCAAAAATATTACGGGCTCCATTTACCGTATCTGTATGAATTTTATCTTGAGATGTACGCTTTGTAAACTTCTTAATAAGTATTCTCTGACGCAATTGCAACTGTCTGTTTTTACTACAAAATAATATGCATTTATATAGTTGGATTGTTTTATATATGTATTTGTTCTATTTACCATTTCAGGTGCTCGCTGGCATCCTCATATGCCTTTGACTTGGTTTTGGTAACAATCAGTTCCTGAGCCATTCCAATTAGTTTAAAAACAAACATAAGAGCCCGCATTCTGTAGAGTTCCAACAATTCCAGGGACTATCGCAAGGGAATGGACAATTTACATGGATATCGATATATCGATAAATTGGATATTTACCCGCGAGCTCAATTTGCTGTTGCGTTCCAAAAGCTTTTCGGCTAGTAATTTGTTGTGTTTCAATCGTGCCGTCATCCGATTCGTTTTGAATGTCTGCTGTCGTAGCCTTTGACGCAAGAAATGCAACTCCAACTTGAACTTGACTAGAGTATTATTCCGCTCAGACAACTGTAGTTTAAGGCCAACCAGTTGGCCGAGTATTGCCTGATGTTCGCTCCTCAGTTTGCAGCTCCCAGTCAGACGCTTGTTGGACATCTCGCCAGCATCCGAGATACATTTGATAAATTTATTGTTCAGAATCTTACGCTCCAACAATATCAGTTCATAGCAATATATTTGCTGGACAGCTAAAAAGATCTGTAAACATTTTTAATATCAATATTAACACTAACTGACGATCTGATGATTTCACTCACCAACTTCTTTAATCTGGACGCCGTCTTGGTTACCTGGACGCAATCTTTGTTGAGGGATCGCCACGCGTCCAGCCAGTTACGCATCATACACTCCATGGGTACCAGCATTAGGGCCATGCCCAAGCTCCCCCCACTCTGTCTCTTTATATATATATATATATTT